ATAGGGGGAACCAAACTCAAAGCTGTTAAAACCTATAGGTATTTGGGTGTAATATTTACAGCTTTTCCATCACGGAAACACCATATTCAGCCAGTTAAAACTAAAGCAGCCCAATTTGCTGCAGCTATAAAGAAATGTTATGAGACCACAGAAGGACTATTAGTCCAAGCTTCTATATCAGCATATAAAGTCAAAGTTGCATCTCAGATTCCATATGGCACTGAAGTATAGGGTTATGCCACCAGTAATGATGTAGACATACCTCAGAACAAGTTTCTTAGGGCTCTTCTTGGTCTTCTTCCTTCAACACCTGCATCTTTTTTGAGATTAGAGATGGGAATAGATTCTATTTTAATTAATATATTAGAATGGTGGGATTTTAGTTTAAAATCTTGCCTCTTCTACCATCTCATCTGCTTAAGTTGCTTCTCTTCAATCTCCCTGATTTTTAGCTTTCTTTCCCGTACTTTTGCAGTTTCTGGGATGGGATACTAATATCAAAGACGATGAAAGATTTTTCTTCCCCATAGAAGACGTTCAAGTTTTTCAGAGGTTACAAGATATTGCCAGGCAGAATGATTTTGCAGCGGCTAGAGTTACTTGTATTGACCTTTTATATACTCTTTGGAAATTAGATTGGAGGACAGAAAGGTATTCACAGCTGGATCTCAACAATAAATGGGGATCCTCTTTGACTAGACTTAGTACTAAACAGATGCTTTTAGCTGTTCCAAGGGCTAAGAGATGTTGCCCAGCTTGTCTAGGAGTTTTGGAAGACACTATTCATTATGTTTTAGAATGTTCTCTATGCAACAACATAACATAAAGAGAACCTATTTATCACTGTTCTTGCAGAAACTGATACTCTTTTTCAAACAGAGAGAAACTAATCTGGCTCTTCCAGCAAACAGATCTATATTTAGTAAACCATCTTGCAATGTTTGCTCTTAAGGCTGAAGCAATTAAACATCCCTTACTGTTGATATAATTGATTCAATTTTAACACTATGATTTTACTGTGTCAACTGTGGATCTATGTACAACATTTTTATAGATTCATGATCCAATTTATTACTATGTTTATACTAATAATGTTTTATAATGGTTGGCTCTATTTTATTATTATATTTGTATTTCTGTTATTTTTGCTTACATTTATTTATGTTATGGTTGCATGTTGTTTCCGGGAGCATGGCTTTCAGCCACAATCCTTAATAAACTGAAGTAGTCCCCCTAACCTATTCTTTTACCACTGAGGGCTGCTCACCTCTGTTGTGATCATTATGTTTGTTAAGTGGCCATGTTCGCCAATCAGAAAAGTTATACAAAGTTATGTAACGGTTGTTAGGCAGACTATAGTTGCCTTTCTGCCATGAGTGTAAAAGATAGACAGCAGCTAGAACTTTCTACAAGGTGGGAACCAGCGTCAGTCAGTCAGTGCCATGGGCCTATCGAAAGGTGCCTCACACAATCACATCACCGCATGTCACCCAAGCTATAAAAGGAGACCCCGCCTGATCGTCAGGGTCCCTTCTGCGTCCAACGGTCTCGGAACGACTCACGGCATATTATTATGGACACGGCTTGGCCTTCGGAGTAGCTAACCGGAGGAGGACGCAGAGACCCGCCTGATCCTGGCGACCTGAAACCCCTGAGACAACTCACCAGCCAGATCCATCTGTCTCACGCACCATTAGGGCACGTAAGGCGTGGTGAGTGAGTTTAAGCTGCTGCATGGCTACGTTAACAGTTATCAATAAAGATCACCAAGCCTGTTCACTGTCCTCCCGACTCCCCGTGATCTGTGGTAAGACCGACCAAGAAAAGATCCTGTCACAACCTCCTCCCCAAACTGTGTGCTGCCAGGTACAGTAGTCTAGGAGCTGACCTTGCTTGTGAAGACTAAGGCAAGAAAGGCATTGAGCACTTCAGCCTTTTCTGCATCCTCTGTCATAAGGTTGCCTCCCTCATTCAGAAACGGACCCACACTTTCCCTGATCTTTCTCGTTACTGACATACTTGTAGAAACCCTTCTTGTTTCCCTTCATATCCCTTGCTAGCTGTAACACCAGTTGTGCTTTGGCCTTTCTAACTTCATCCCTGCATGCCCAAGCAATACTTGTATACTTCTCCCTAGTTGTTTGTTTTAAGTTTCCACTTCTTTAAGCTTCGTTTTCTGTGATTTAGTTTACTGAAGAGTTTCCTGCTAAGCCAAGCTGGTCTTCTGCCATACTTGCTAGTCTTCCTGCACATCAGGATGATTTGTTCCTGCACTCTCAGTAAGGCTCCTTTGAAGTACAACCAGTTCTCCTGGACTCCTCTCTCCCTCAGTCTGGCTTCCCAGGGGATCCTGCCCACGAGTTCCCTGAGCGAGTCAAAGTCTGCTTTTCTGAAGTCCAGGTTCTTTACTCTGCTGTTCTCCATCCTTCCTTTTCTCAGGATCCCGAAATGAATCATCTCATGGTCACTGCTGCCTACGTTGCCATCCATCTGACCCATCCTGTCCTGATTTCTGTGTTGTCTTTACCCTACTTTGCCCTGTCAAAGACTTTTTGCAAAAGCATAAAACTACTTTTTCACACTTAACCAGTGCCCAGGCTCCAGTTTCTACATTTCCCATCTGGTCCCAATGGAATGAAGTCTTAGCCTTACCCCTCTGGACTCATCCTGGTGCTGTTGCCTCCACCTCCCTGCATTCCTGGTCTCCTTAAACAGTGATTCCCAGTGCTCCCCCCCTCCCCACCGTTTCTGAACTCTGGTCATCAGTTACCCTGCGCACATTTGCATTCTGGTTTGTCTGAGTCAGTCTCCTCCAGGCTGCTCATTCAGCTTCAGTACCCTCCCTCCCACAAATAATTAAGTTTCTTTGCCAAGCCAGTACCAGCCTCCCTGCCCCACCCTCCTTGACTCTTAGTTCCAGTCTCTCTGCCATTTGCTTGGGCAGTGGTGGAGAGGGAGAAGGAACAGCTAGACAGGGATGAGTCTGTGCTTACCTCCTCACACAGGGTTTGGGCAGTACGTGTTTGGGCAGTGCAGCCAGGCAGAAATGAGCCTGTGCTTACCTCCCTGCACCCTGCAACACTCAAAGGATTTCAACTCTATCACCCCAGTTGAGAATCACTGGGTTAGGGGGTCTGGTTCTCATCCCCACGGCATTCAAATCAGAAAGATTCCACTTCTGTGGCATCAGAGCCCAGAAAGAAAGGGACATCATGTCAGCAACATCACAGGTAAGGCCATTGGTTTGTTGTCAGTACATGGACCTGAAAAGGTCCAACTTCAATCCAGAGCTACAACATAGGAAAAGTCTGCTCAGTCTGGACCTGGGACATGCCCAGTGTTGGCACAACCTTCAGGGAACTCAGCTACAAAAACCCTAAGGTGGATTTCCCCCTCCCCCCCACCATAAGCCTGTAATTTAACTAAATTTGGGCAGATTTTCACATGAGCTACCAAAGGCCAATCCTAGGCACAAAGGCCACCTGCTGCCAAATTTTAAGTCCTTGCTCCAAAGTGTGAAGGCAACAGAACTTCCCAAAGAAAAGATGGTTACAATTTTTGTAACGTAAGCAAAAGTTGTAATTTTCCCTACCTCTTCTGGGAAACAGCTGAACTATTTAGGCTGATGTTTTCTAAAAGAATTCAGTCTGAACAGGTAGCAAGCCCTGTATGATTAAAGGGGTCTTTTAACAGGGAAAGTGTTAGACAACCTTAATAACACGTGTATTTATATGCATGTATATGTGTACACACACTACACATACACTGATGTACTTATAACCAAATATAATTAGTCCCAATGTGGACCTTAGTATGGGGAAAATCTTCACTGTTGTCAGCCTTCAAATTTGACAAATATTAATTGATTCTTACTCTTAGTTTTCCATCCCTTAACTGCTTCCTGACTTATGCTGACACATGGCTAGTCAACCCACTTCATTTCCTTCACATCCTCTTGTGGGAAACTCAAAGGTTGACTGAAAGATTAAACAAAGCTAACCTGGTCATTATTCCTTACACTATTAATACGCTGAAAAAATTTTGATGGATTTGTGAGCACATTTTTTCTTTGTAGAGCCATGTTGCTTTGTTCTCATCGTACCTAGTTCTTCTAGGGTGTTATATGCTATTTTTACTACTACTTTCATCCAGTTTATTAAGTACCAAAACAAGGCTTGCAGGTTAGTAATTCCCCAGATTTCCCCTTGAGCCTTTTTGAAAACAAGAATATTTGCTCCACTCCAGTCATCAGTACAGAATAGGAGGTTGACTTTAATGAAAGTATGTATTGTTTGGCAGCCCAGCCAATTTATTCTGGAATAGCTTCAGAACACTTGGCTGTGGACTGCTAGAGCCTGGGGACTTGCACTGTTCTTTAACTCAGCTGGGTTTTTTTCAGCACCTCCTCTTTTGACACTTCAGTCCTTGACATTACTTCTTTATTAAATGTAAACAGTAAACATTTCCCCAACATCCTCTGAGGCTGTAAAGAAATCATTAAGGGCTCTTTTCAGCAAACCCCTTAAGCACAGACAATTTTTAAGCATATGTTTATGCTCCATCAAAGTTAACAGAACTTCTGTGTTTAGTTTATTTTTAATGCCCTTATCCTTTTCTACTTAAGTCTTTACCTCCTCATGGTCCAGCAAACTCAGCAATTCTTTTATGGACATCTTGCTCCTAATAAATCAAAAGGATTTTTCCTGGTTTTCTGTTTTTTTTGTTTTTGTTTTTGGGGTTTTTTGGGGGGGGGGGAGCTCTTCAAGTTTCACTATGTTCTAGTTCATATTTTGTCTTGTTCCCTTCTTGCCCATGCCTGTTGGCTTCACTAGTTTCTCAAGGGCCAATATTTCAACTGAGTGATGATGTTCATTAACCAAACTGGCTTTTACACTGCCTCCTTGTTTGCAGGGTTTCTGTAACTGTTTTCCTCATGCTCAAGGAGACTCCAGGTTTAGTTACAAATCAGCTGGAGGGAGCTGTCTACCCAAGATACTCACTTCTGCTTCTCTGCCTTGTACTGCTGTGTGCAGTCATCAAACAACTTTTGGTTCATCTCCATGAACAGCTTCAATGCATTGTAGATCAGCCCATGGATGGTCCTGCAAAAGGCAGAAGAGGGACAGTGTCACATACAATATCTTGATGGTATTTCTCCCTTATCTTGCCCCTCCAGAGCAGGGGATTGGGTTAGGGGGAAGATAACAGATCTTGCTGACAGTTCAGTCAGAGCTAGAGCTCTCATTCTGAAAAGAACAGAGGCTGCATCCATTAGATTAACTGCAGGCCAGGGATGACAGTCTTGGCAAGGCTCCCTTTACAGTGGTTAGGACTGGAGAGCCCTGGAGCCAGAACTTGCAATTCCTCCTGGGCAGCTCCCAGCACAGAGGTCAGTAGGTAACAGACATCCCAAATCCCTGGACTTTCCCCAAGAGAACCTAGAGACGAGGGAAGGTGGGTGCCAGCATAGGGCTGTTCCCTGAAGCATTGGTTCTCAACTGACTCAGAAGTGCCATGGGTAGGTATGAATGGGGCTGGGGGAAGTCAGCTGAACCACTGCTGAAAGTTTTCACAGTTGCATCATGCCAAGTCCCCAACCTGCACCCTGCAAACTAACCTCCCAAACAGAAAGCAATACAGCCATCTTAGTGCAGTACCACAGAGGAGCAAATACCTCTGCCAAGATTCAGAGCTAGTGGGTGAGGTCACTGTGCCACATTAAGAAGGCTACACATGTTCCCATCTAGGAGGCAGTGTGTGCAGAGTTCAGGTAACTATACCGTGCTGCCCCATACCAACCCTGCATAACACTTACACAGCTACACTACACTGCCTCTGGTTTTCCTGGTCCTGGAGATCATTTTGCAAGTATTAAGGTGAGTGATGAGATCAGAACAGTAGAGAAGCTCTATCCTAGAGGCCTTTGTTCAACCCAGTTTACAACCTCAAAGGATGGGTCCCGCAGTGAACCAGGTATATTGTTCCATTTCCGCAAAACTAAATCACTCAATTACCTCTATCACTGTGCAGGGCCCAGCCACCTAGAATTTCCATCATCCTAAAACTTAACAGCATTTCAACAACGGAAATCAGCACCAAGAAGGATCAAGCTACTTCCTTCTTTTGTACCAGGAATATTTGCCATGGGTCATATTGTATTTAAGCATGGTACAAACATCTGAGGCAGAGTATGTCTTGTGTGCAAAGGGCTGTGCATGTCTGTGATGCCAGTAAATAACAACAGACTGGAATCGTGCCTGGAAGAAGCACCACTTAAAAGCAAGATGACGGGAGACTCCCAGTGTCTGTGCCACCTTGGACAAATCCCCCTATCTGGGCCTCCCTTCTGTTAAGTGTGAACAATGGTACTAACCTACTTTTAGAAGCAGACTGCAATAAAGGAAAAGCCACTAGATTCTCTTTTTTTGTTATACATGGCTTCTGAGCAAATGGGCTGGGAGGGGGGCCCAAACTCACTAAATCATTCCAGGCATTCTAGGAAAGTGAGAGGCAGAAATGCAGGGAGGGACAAGTTAGCAAAAAAAAAGATTCCAGAAAAAATTGGAAGCAGTCATGAAAAGAGGGCAAGAACTTTCCCATGGGTCAGGAAGACAAAATAGTGGGAGGGAGAGCACGAGAGGAGTTGAGAGCTGGTGAGCTTAACACACGTCCCCAGTTCTTACAATGACTGCAGATAAAACTCGGGTTTGTGTCTCTTTACAAGAAAGACGGAAGAGGAAGCAGAACCAAGAGAAAGTGGTGTTGCAAACACATTTTATTCTGCAGTCCATGTTTTTGGCAGGATAGAAACACACACCATCCCAGCCTTTTCAAGCCTTCCCTTAGATTTTATTATTTTCTTTCCAATGTATGGAGGAGGCCCGAAAGGGGAACAGGTGGGAAAGTTGTACCTTTTTGTTTTTTCCCCTCAGAAATATCAGCAATGTTACCTTTGCAATGTAATTTTCCTGGGCTTTTGTTAGAGAACTCAAAAATCTCTGTTGTAGAGTATAAGCTTCCTTAGCCATTCACAGAAGGGGCAAGAGTGTTTTTAAAAACAAGTGAAAGACCTTTGTTAAAGATCAAACACCTTCTTAACTTTAACAAGCAACAACAAGAAGAAAAACTGGTAGGGAGCTGAAGGAAGGATGACCAGATGATCTGGTATCACAGAAGTAGATCTCAAATTGAAGAACATGCAACAGCTTGTCTACCTGGATGGTTCTCCTTTCCTTATGCCTCTCCACACACACAACCCTCCCCGCCTGCAACAGACTTACCAGCCAGACACTGCTCTCCAAGCTGCAGGTTTACTGATCTGATGGCCAGTATGCATCGGCTGATATGGCTGGTTAATAAATAGCCATCAGTACCAGCCAAAAAAAGGAGTT